AAACAATAGAAATTTCAATCAAAGTATAAAACTGTATAGTTAATAAACGAAGTAGGGATGGCAATTGGAGCGAGTACCCGCAGGAAGTTAATGGGACGGAATTAGAGCGGGGTGGGAGAATTGTTTTCTTTTCGTTTAGAAACGGGGCGAGAACGGAGAAGTATACCCCGTCCCACTATCTGTTAAAAAAAGTAATAAATATATATATGTATATAATTATATATAATATTTAATTTAATTAATTACAAACTTATATATATTTAGAAAACTGGCTACAACTTGCATTCTAATTCTGTGATGAATCAGAATGAAAAAGCAGTTAACTAAACAAGAGGAAACTCTGGCTACAACTAGCCTGGATAGTTCTTGATACTGAACAAACTCAAATTTAATGAGTTCTTGCATGACCGAAGTGATTAAATCTTTAATGAGGCAAATGCATATCCTCGGTTCTGTGCACAAACTGGGGCATTAAAGGCCTCACAAATTGACAAAGACAAATGAATGAGCTGCAACAGTAATAGGCTTAGAAGCTTCGACTATTTGCGGTTTTAGAGTTGGGGTATCAGATGCCGCTGTGAGCTTCAGTGGAGTCCCATTTAACAGCAATACATCACTCTAGATGTATCCATCTTCTGGAGTCAAGTGGTACTCTTCTCTTTGTTGTCCAACTTCAAATTTGCCGCCCATATTGTAGTCATTCACAATTGAAACTTCAAAACTGGTCGAATTTGACACGTTGATTATCAGGACTGCAATGCCAGAGCTAGTCTTTGAGCAATGAGAATCCACATGCAAATTTTTATTAGCCCGTGGATGCCCCTGCAGGAGAAGCGGGGTGGGGCGGGGGGAATTAGTGGGCAGCCTCTCTCGCTCCAACTCTGTCCCGTTGCCATCCCTAAAGCAAAGGCTCAAGCACTTCCATACAAAAAGTGTACTATGGCATTGAGGGATAATCCACTCCTCATCAATATCTATGCTGAAGGTTTTGTATATAAGTGGTCTGTTCCACCTGAAGTTGGTTATCAACTCATGGACTTTTTTGTTAAACTGCAGTCCTGAGGTTTCCTTATCTTCAGTTTACCTTGAGGACTGTCAGGAATCCACTTGTCTTCCCATAACCTGGTGTTTTTACCATTTGCCTATTCTCCTCATAGTTCCTTCCTCCACTAGTTCTCTAGCTTCCATCATGCTCTACCAAATCCAAGATGCATTCTTTGGAACTTCACACTTGAAGAGGGATTCATTTTGGTAATACTTTGCCTTTAGCATCCTGTTCACCAAAAGATTTCAGCAAGTTAGCAGCCTCCACATTTGCTTTCCCAAGAGAGCTCTATTAAAGTCTTCTAGGTCCTTAAATCCCAGTGCACCCCACTTCTTCTCCTGTGCTATCTTCTTCCAAGAGCACCACTGTATTTTATTCTTCCGTCCTTCCTCTCTCCACCAGTAGTTTGCCGTAATTGAACAAATGTCTTTACACAATTTTTTTGGGAGCTTGAAGCAAAGCAGGACATAAGTGCCATGGTCACTGCTTTAATCATCACTTCCTTTCTAGCGGTGCTTAACGTCTTGTTCTTCCAGCTTTGTATCCTTTTCTGTACTTTGTCTTTGATCAATACAAAAATTTGATCCTTTGTACTAGTCATAACCATAAGAAACCCTAGATATTTCCCTTGAGAACCCATCTGGATATTACCCAAATATTGACAGATCACCTCTATTCTATTTGAGGTCAAGTTTTAACAGAAGAACACTGAGATTTTTTCTATATTTGTAGATCACTTCTTTTTTAAATCTGGCATGTCACTTATAACCAAGTTGCACTTTGCCGTATCAAAAATGATTAATTCCAATTCAATATTGCAAAAAACCATGTGGGTATTACCCAAATGTTGACAAATAACCTCTTTTCTATTTTGGGTCAAGTTTTAACTGAAGAACACTGAGAATTTTTCTAAATTTATAGATCACTTTTTTTTCAAGTCTGGCCTGTCACTTATAATCAAGTTGCACTTTGCCATATCAAATAGGGTTAATATCACTTTGTCCCCCCAAACTTTGGACGATTACCCACTTCAGTCCCTAAACTTCAAAATGGGACACTTAAGTCCCTAAACTTATAAATACCTTCCATTTAAAGAAAATTGTTAACAAATCCTGAATGCCGTTGGTGGTCGAAGTGTCCCATTTTATAAGGGTTTAGGGATTTAAGTGTCCCATTTTATAAGTTTAGGGACTTAAGTGGGAGGTATTTATAAGTTTAGGAATTTAAGTGTCCAATTTTGAAGTTTAAGGATTGAAGTGGGTAATCGTCCAAAGTTTGGGGGGACAAAGTGGAATTAACCCTATCAAATATGATTAATTAACCTTTTTTTTTGTTAGGGGCAAAAAAATAAATATTTTAAAATTGGTAAGATGTTTTGATCAATAGCTAAGAGCATAAAATAAAACAGTTTCATCACAACTTCCAAAAGGTTGTTCTCTTGTTTCGTAACTTATGCTTGTTGGAAAATTAAGATATCATGCACATGATTCACTTACAGCTAGTTTAAAGAAAAGATGGGAAGAAAAAGTTAGGCGTTTCCAATATTTGGAAGTTTTAGTGATATAGAAAAGAAGAGAAGCTGATTGATTTGGGAAGAAGCAGGCCAGCTACAGTTAAAAAAATTTTCTGTCTAAGATCGGTTAGAAAATGAAGGAAAGTTGGGGAAAGCCTACAAAAAATTTTAAATTGTCCATTCTATTTTTAAAAAGTTATTGAATAAAAATTTATTGACCCATATCCAATATCACCTCCTTTCTTTCACAAATTCTCAAACAATATTAAAATCTCTTATTTGCTTTTCTTATTTTTTTTCTCTCATACATTAACATTTCTCTTCTTTTCTTTTCTATCCTCAACTCCCAAACTAACTATTATATAGAGATTTTAGGGCATGTTTGGAAGAAATCAACCTAAAACTCGATGAGAATTCTCAAACTCAAAGAATTCAACACATTGTAAATAATCTACTTCTTTAATGGGAACTACTAGATTTTGTGTAGGAAGAAAATGATTTTGAAGGTAAGATTTGGTAAAAGGGGGAGAAGTAGTAAGATTTTCTTTTTTTTTTTTTTTTGCCTGGAAGCTGCTACGGGGGTGGGTGCCCTTGGAGATGGTCCTGAAGCGAAGAGGGTTTTCTCTGGGCTCTCGCTGTTCTTGTTGCCATGCAGCGGAGGAATCCTTACTACATGTTTTTGTGACTGGTGCGGTAGCGAGGGACGTCTGGGGCTATTTTCGGCAGCGCTTCGGGATTCTGGATGCCCCTTCCTCTTCGATCGCGGCCACACTTCTTTCGTGGTTCCATTCGACCCCTATGATGGCATAGGGTCATATTCGCACGATTATTCCACTACTCATTCTATGGTTCTTATGGAAGAGGCGGAATAAAGTACGCTTTAAAGGAGTGACCTGTCAGGCACGAGAGATTATTTTCCTGATGGAACAGTTTGTCGAGCAACTGGTGAGGGCTAGGAGGTTATCAGGGGCCACCTTTAGGGGTGACTTGGATGACCCCTGGTCCAGGTGGGTGGTGAATGCGATGCGACAGTATAGAGCGGTGCCAGTCTCCTGGAAGAGGCCTCCGTTGCAGTGGGTTACACTCAATACGGATGCAAGTGTCAGCCAGGCCCGTGCTTATGGGCGAGGGTTGTTGCGAGACTCGGATGGCAGGCTTATCTTCGCGTTCTACAAGGAGTTGGGGGAGTTGGACGTTCTAGCGGCAGAAAGCTCCTCACTGTTGTATGGGCTTCAACGGTGTATGCAAGGACTCCAAGGGCGGCTGATGGTGCGGGTGGACTCGGAAAGCCTGGTTAGCTTGCTCAGGTCAACAGCTATCACCAAGTGGCCGCTATGCAACACGATCAGACACATACGTGTGTTGCTCCTTGATCTCTCTGCTTTGGTCCAGCACATCTTTAGGGAGGCGAATTCCGCAGCAGACATGATGTCTAAGCTGCGCCCTTCACCAGATTTCTTTTGCACCTCGCAACAACAGCTTCGGGGGAGGATTCGGGCGGCTCTGAGTCTTGATAGTCGAGAGCTGTGTTATTTACGTATGTAGATAGACAACGGATAGGCTCTCAATGTGGGGGGTTACTCGAATTCTTGTAATGTTTCTGGTTTTTTTAATAAAGGAAGACACTGGTTTTCCTGGAAAAAAAAAAAAAAACAAAGACCTCATAGTCATAGTCATCGTGTCGCTAATATCACCTGACTAATTTTGAATTGATCAACACTAATCTTAGTGGGTGCCAACATTCTTTGTAATATATTTCAGAAAGTTTTAGTTCTACCCATTCCTAACTCCTAAGGCTGTGGAAGGGCACTCGACCTCCATTTTAATTCCCTCAGGCAGCAATAGATAGAATAAAATGGGGTACAGTCGTTAGCGGTAGAAGATATCATGCTTTTGAGCAAATCTCTTGGCATTAATCTTTTTAATTATTTTACCTGAAAGGATGAATGACCTATACGACTTACAAAAATGATTCTCTAATAGTTAGCATCATCTGTAAATACTTTCGTCATTATTTCATACTTTCGAGTACATCTTTGTGGTGTTAATCTTGTTTATTATGCTACGTGGAATGATGAATGACTTGTATGACTTACAAAAGAAACACATAATAATGAGTGTGTTTAGATGGATTAATTTTGTCAAATAATATTTTGTTTGAATCATAAACATATTTTTTAATTCACTAGTTGATATTTTCAACCGCTTTTCTATCTCATACATATCACATTATAAAAAGTACTACAATAATTATTTCAAATAATACTCTATTCAAATGATTTTCACTGTTATTTAAATATAAATATAAAAAATATGTGTGTGTGTGTGATTGGACTGGAAAAATGGGGTGTTGAAAGAAAATGGTACCACTAAATAAAACAAGGAAAATCCTATATTAATGATATACCTCGACTTAAACGACGGAAATAAATTGATTTAGAAAACAAACTGTTTAGAATGGCTTTTTGTGGGACATTATGTGAGGGTTTCTTTGGCAGTGGCTTTCAAAGAGGGCGCCAACATTCTTCCTTACAGGAAACGCGCCAAAACCCGTATAGATTCATAAAATTGAAATGCTCATTCAAGCAAAAGGTCGAACAGTTTCAGTTCAGAATCAAAATCAGCAAAACAATGGCAGCAGTCTTTGGATGGTACGGACCTCTAATCGATCTCTCCAAAGCGCCTTCCCATGTCGGCGACTACGTTCAGCTTCTCGTCTTTGTTCACAAATCCACCCCTGTTCAGGTGCCCAGGAAATACAAAACCCAAAAAGTTTTTTTCTTGTCGGTGCTTTCTGCACTGCTGATGAATTTGTTTCTCAATTGTGTAGTATAAATTGTCAAAAAAGGGAGGGAGTGGGAGCGGAGAGATGGTAAGGATGGACGTACAGGTGGGTGATGACACGCGTCGATATTTTCCTGTATCTATATGGCAAAAACAATTGGGGTCCAAGATTGTTGCTGGTGATATTATTTTTCTACAGAGTATGTAATGTGAAATGTAAATGCTTTTGAAATGCTTTGGTACAACTGATAGTTATGTGCATGCAGAATAAATTTGAGTCACCATTCGCTTTTGAACGCACTTTTGGTTTGTTTGTTTTGAGCATGTAAGCGAATTATGCATGTTTTTGGACATTGTAAACATAGACAAGATGCTTGTGCACAAGATATCGGGCCAGTTTGAAAGTTTAACCCTTTTTTAAGGCAAAGTTTGACTTCTTTCTCTGTCCCTCTGTGAGAAGTCTTTCAGGAAAATGGGGAAAAGGGATGATTGTTGTTGTTGTTGTTGTTGATTGAGCCAACAAGAGGGTCAAGAAAGACTGAAACCAATAGATGATCATATATGTATGTTTTTTAATCATGGATTACTTCATATTTAAAAGAAAATTTCTTAGGTTTTCTTTTCTTTCCTTCCTTTTTTTTGTGGTGGTTTTTGAATGGAATGAAGCCCAGATGCCTCCTTTATCAGATTTTTAATGCAATCTCATTTGGTGGAAGTATTTTAATCGTTACAATAAAATGTAATATCTGTAAATTTATTTGATAAGGGATTTTAGAATAGTCTGTCTATTGTCATGTTTAATTGATGAAGGACAATCAGCATGATTCAAAGACTCTAAGGACACAGCATGAATCCTGTTTTCAATAATGAAATATTGAAGTCCGAATGAGTACTTATGATCACGTCATATAGGGATCGAGAAAATGTATGAGGATCTGTTGTGACTGGATAATAGGATATCTACAGTTTAAGTTCACCTAGTTTTTGTGCCAGTATATTGCTTTCAAATTTTAGCAGACTGCCACTTATACCATTTCTGCTATAAGTTTCATATGCTGTGCTCCCTACTTGGGCAATACAATAACATATAAAATTCTCAAATAAGAGTTTCCTTTAAATCTCTGTCCATTCCAGAAAGTTTATTTTATGCTACTCAAAAACTGTTGGGAGATTTCTTATTGTTTATTTTTTATAATGCTTTGTTGTCTCATCATTTTTGCATTTTCATTGCTTTGCTCATAGATTTTCCGTTTGGAATGTCGAAATTGACTTTAGTTTTCTCAATTTGATATCTTCTATTTTGACTTAATGTAATCAGATGTCAAGGTTGCAAGATTTAGAGATGTTATTGAAGTAAGAACTGATCATTGCTCATTAATTCAAAGCCTGGTTCGCTCAGATGAATTGCTTGTTTCTAAAGGTACACTCCTGTCATGGCAGCTGTAGATCTTATCTGTTAACAAAGAAGAAAAATAGCTGCTGAATAGTCAATAACTTTGGTATTATGTTTCATCATGCTGAGTTGCCATATAAATTGAAGATGGTGTAAATTTGTTCATTGGATTTGATGCAACTGTCCTGTCTGTTAACGACAGACAGAAGATTCTTTGCTATCTTATGGTTTGACTTAAGGTTGTAGTTGCAGCATAGAAGCTCTCAAGAGTCAAACTATTCTGGTATATGTTTTGATAATTTATGCCTCTTGTTAGAGCCCTAATGTCCTCAGGGGACCTTTAAAAATTATGTCTCCTAGTTTTAATTAGAACTTGTTATTATTAACAATGACAGCCTATATGTATCCGCCTCTCTCTATTTGTTTATTTTATTTCCTAAACTCTTTAATATGGTCTACATCAAATTTTCTACTGATGTTTGTTGTTGTATTCATCGTAGATTAGAAATATGGCCAATAAACATTAGGGGAAGTGTGTCAATTCTGTAGTTTTTCTTTTGTAAACTCAGTCTTTTTTCTTTATTTCCCTTTCCCTTTTCTTTTTTACTTTCTCAAGTAAGACATTGGATTGTGATGGTGCATGTGGATCTATTGAGAGAGAGAGAGAGAGAGGAAGTAAGATAGAATGCTTACAGAAGCGGCTATGTTTTTGGTGGCAGAGCATCAAATAAATTAAAGTTCAGAATACATTTTGTACCTAATGGAGAAAGATTTTGAGATTTGGCTGGGAGACCAAGATATGTGTTTGTTTTTATGAAACATCTGCTTCCATTAAAATGTTGATTGGGATTGGATTCAAAGAAATTCACATTTAGAAACCAATTTAGGTGGTCAAGGAGTCATTTGTGTAGCATTTTTGTGGAGTTTGCCTTAGGTTTAGACTGCAGGTGGTGGCCAACAGTAAGCATGGTGATTGGACTATCTTCTGTAAGATTTTGTTCGTTTTGATGGACAATTTGTATTGTATAACAACAAGAGCAAACATTTACTGGCCGCTGCCCCATCTCACAGCACTGTATTTGGGTTGGGGGAAGAGGGAAGAGGACGGGGAAATACAAAAAGGGAAATTGAAAAACAAAAGGACAAGGAAAAGGAAGCAAAGAAACTAGAAAGTGAAAGAAAGTAAAGGAAAAAAATAATATTGACAAAAGATAAAAATAAAAAATAATGAAAATGCAAACACATTCTGATGTGAAGCATGAGCATTACGCATGTGTAAATGGAAGTAATATTTTGAAACATTACACAAATCTGAACAGTCAGAATGGGCAATAACTTGGTCAAATGAGCAAAAGTAGGCATAGTACCCACTTCAATAACTGATGTGAAGCATGAGCATTACGCATGTGTAAATGGAAGCAATATTTTGAAACATTACACAAGTTTGAACAGTCTGAATGGGCAATAACTTAGTCAAATGAGCAAAAGTAGGCATAGTACTTACTTTAATGGGTATTGATTAATTCCCTCTTATGATTATTACTTTTGATGTATACTTGTAGTATAGAAAGTTAGTGGCCAACATGTTACTGCATTTTCTCTTTATTTAACTGATATAAGGGCTTTTGTGTTTCTTGCTTTCTTTCAAACTAGTATTTCCCTTTTGTCATCTTTAGTAGTCATGCCAAACTAAAACAGTATATGTATTCCCATTCAAATGGTATCTTAATTCAGTTTTTGAATGTACTTTTGAGTCAGGTACACTAAGTAAATTTTTGAAGTTTCTGAAATTTTCAAGAACTGGGAATCAGTTGATAATTGGTAACTAATCTAAAATTCAAGTGAAGTGAGGTAGTTTTAGGAATTCTTTTAAGTTCTCTATTAGATGTGGACTAAATAGGATTGCCTAGTATTTTGCATCTCATTTTGACAAAATTCTGTGATAAACTAGCACTTATGTGCATAATGTTTGTTTCTCCTCTTATCTTTTGCTTAGAAGATTGAACAGAATTCCGAAATTAATTAGATTTCTTGTTGCTATCTAATCACCATATTGCTGTGTCCTTGAACATTACACTTAAGGGTAGTGCACACTAAATCGGCATCAGAGTTTGTTATTTGTTAGCAACCATAAACTTGAAAAATAGTTTGTTAGCTGATGGGTACACTAAGAATTCTGAAATCAATTAGATTTCTTGTTGCTATCTAATCACCATATTGTTGTATCCTTGAACATTACACTTAAGGGTAGTGAACACTAAATCAACATCAGTGTTTGTTATTTGTTAGCAACCATAAACTTGAAAAATAGTTTGTTAGCTGATGGGTACACTAAGCATAGATCTCTCTCTCTCTCTCGTGCTTCCCCTCTCGGCATGTGTGTGTGGATGGATAACTATTGGTTTTTTGAAGTCGTTGCTCAAATACTCATAGGTTGTGCTCCATTACATGTATTTTATTTTCTTGATCTAATACGTGCTGTTGAACTAAATCTATGATTCAAAGGAGCACATTTGCTGCACAAGTGACAAGACTGTAAAAACAATTTAGCTTTACTTTGGGACTCCTACTTTTGTTTTGAAATCATTTCCCTTGAGTTTCACTTGCAAAAGGAGTTCCCTCATATTTGTTGCCATAAATCCTAGGAATTTTTAAAATTGTCTTTTCCTCATGCAGATCTAACATATAGTGTAAAATCTGATTGTTTTGCTGGAAGAACAGGGTAAAAGGTCCATGTTTATTTATTCTGGGTGATTACTACAGCACTTATTTGCTTTTCCAAAGAGAAACTTTGAGCTGCTAGAGCTTGATAAATGCTATAGCAGTTGCTGCTGTTAGTTTTAGCCATTCCCTTGGTTCAAAGCTCTTTGATTAAACATGGTTCCTGGAAAATGTCTAAAGTGTCAATTTAAATTTATCGAGTGACATATGCAATTTTGGTAAGTGGCATGTGTCTGATATATGCATGTCACCTATTAAGATCTGTCTGTGCTTCTTAGATAAAAGAATGCAATGTGAAGTTGCTATCCTGATTTTTCGATTTACTTCATCCATTGTTTCGTTCTGAATGATATCAAGCACTATATGGAAATGCATGATGGTAATTGCCATACAGAAATATAATTTTGTGCTGAAATATTATCATCAATATATGCCTGATGATTTATTTAGTCTTTTTTCATGGCTTCTGTCTTACCACCAGTGGCATGGCGCTTAATGTTCTCTTTCCATCAATCCTAATATTAGCTTCATTTCACTTACCCTCAGGTATAGATGAGGCAATGAAAGATTGTCGAATTGGAATAACAGCTAAGAACAAGCTTCACAAGGTTATAGAATGGTTGCAGCGAGCTGGACTTGCAAGTCATGATGTAGAATTGAACAGCGACCAAGTATTTTTACAGTTTTTTTACTGTACTATTGCATTTGGACTTTGGTGGAAGTAGCTGCTACTTGTGTAGTACAGACGTTAGGTTAGTCAATTCCTTATAAAACTAGGATACAGCGAAACACTGAAGCAGTACATCAGTGTGGCAGAAAGCATATTCATGAGAAGTAATATGGGATAACAGGGTAACAGGGTGTTGAATAAGGAAAGTATAGATCAAAATATTACTCATAATGAAGAAAAAACCTTAGCAAACATGGATTTTAAAAGCTTTGGTCACCTTTTGCACACGAGATTAATGGATATCATACCTCAATTAAGAAGTACACTAAAATCTTAGTATCTCTTTCACAATCTCTCTCTCTCTCTTTCGCTAAAAGCTTAACTATGTATGTTTTCTTTGCTCTTTACAATTTCTCTTCTACCTCTTTCTGTTTGTTTATCTTGCTTTTTCTTGACTTCTTTTTTTTTTTCTGGTTTTCAACAGGTTTAGACCTGTTTTCTTTCCTCTGGTTTAGAAGTTAAAGTATTGGAGATGTATTTTGAGACATCTCTTTTGCTCTCTCTCTCTCTCTCTCTCTCTCTCTCTCTCTCTCTGTCTTCCTCCCTTTCTACTCCCTGTACCACAACCTTATTCTTTTTAATATTTTCATCTTGACCTTTTTTTTTTCTGGTTGCTGACAGATGTAGACCTTCTTCCTTTTCTACTCCATAGAAAATCATACTATATCTCTGATATCTACACACCCACATTTTTGGTCTGCATAGTACAGAAGGAAAACTGAAAGTTCATATGACGTAGGGCCTTATATTGTAACACACTTGGGCTAAAATGTCTGTTCTTATAAGCTGTTGTCAGGCATCAAGTATAACATGCTGTACAATCGACCATAAATCTTCTTTGTATGTTTCTAATTGAATACAATTTGAATGCTCTTGCTGCATCCATACTCTTGTGTGGTGGTGGTAATATAATATACTCCTTAGGTGAATTAGAGCCACTTCCCTTGCACTTATCATATACAATTTAGTGCACTAGTGCTCCTTCTCCCCCTCTCTCTTCCCACCATTATCTGCATCAGTCCATTTGTTATTTTATCCCTGCTAACTGTTTAAGTTTTTGGCTATTTACTTTCTCCATGGTATAGTTCCCATTTGCCTTTCTTCTTGAATGGCATCAAGCATGCTTCATTTTGCATATTGCAAGGTGAATAAAAGCCATCTTTTCTGCACTTGTGTTTATAGATTCTGGAGTTCATATTTTAACCCAATGAACTGCTTAAGTTGTTGGTAGTTTTCTTCCACCACTGCAATTTTTGTTTTCCTTTCTTCTTATAGAGCATCAAGCTTGCTTCATTTCGTACATTGCAAGCTGAATAGAGGACATCTTCTCTGCACTTGTATTTGTTGCAAGTCTCATATTTTTTCTATCCGCTCAGTTTCTTTCCATTGCCAGCAACTCATTCACCCACTTACTTTGCAAATTTACTTTGACTGATTGGTACTGCATACATCCCCTTCCCTGAAATTGATATGTATTCTCCAGTGATTTACTTACCATCTCTGTTTCTGTTGTCTGTACCAATTGTCATTTTGTTCTTGCACACTTGCACCTGCACAGGCACAGGCACAGATACCTACCAGTCTGATTGACTAAATGTTCAGTTTTACCCTTCCCTGATCCGTATCCATAGCCATGCATCTCTGAAGCTAATATATTGTCTTGTGGTTGTATTCCCTTTCCATTTTTCTCTTTTCATTCTGTAGCCTTTGAGCATGCTTTTTGGTGCATATGCTAATTGTGAGGAGACACATAAGGCATGCTCAGCACATGTTGTGTCAAAGTCTCACGATCCAAGCAACTAATCTGGCTAATACATGTTAAAATATGCAGTTCTTAATGCTATATTTTACAAGCTTTCTATCCTGTAACTTTTCATTTTCTTTACCAAAAGCAACTCCATGCAAAATAAGATTGAAGCCTGGCATCCATTCTTGCAGACTGCACATTGATGAGTTTTTATCTTTGAGATAAATGTAGAAAGACCCATAGGTATTTTTGGTCAATTTACGGGCATGTGTTGTTGATCATCTTTCCAGCCAGTACTAATGTCAAGTGAATTAGTAATTCAATTTTTATCTTCATGTCCAATGCTGATGTTGGTTATGGTCATTTCTGATTACCAGAGTAATAAGCAAATGTTTATAAATTGGAAAATGCATGAAGAGGTACAGCACAAGGACTGTTTTTCTCTTATGCAATTAGAACATCTACCTGATGCTTCCAAGGCAACCTTCCATGCTTCAGTTGGAGAAATCTTTTTGCCGATCACCTGGAGACATATCCCAGAATCTGAAGTTGAAAAGATGTTTATCAGCAGGAGAATGTATATGTTGGGAGATAGAGATTTCATAGAGGATCTTATTTGTAATGGCTGCCAGCTATGTGGTACCCCTTTGTCTTCTGAATTTGGGTATGGAGAAGGATGAATGGTTCTTTCTTCTGCTTCTTTCTTTTGAGCTTTGATGTAATGTGCATAAAAATGATATCCCATGTTTCACAATGGCAGGCCACCCATGAAGCAAAACAGCTTCCCACTTTATTGCCGGAAAAGCCAAAATGGTCTCCATGCTTTGAGCATGATATACAGACCTTTCTTGGTATGTACCTCCTTCAACTGTCACAACCCCCAACCCTGCCCCGCCAAAAAGAAGGAAAAATTGACACAAGTGACTATTGAGACTGAAATGAATGCATAAACATGAATTGCGAGGTTTGATGCACTGAAGTTGTCCTTTTACCCATTTTAGCTTTTTACCAAAACTGATTAAGACTTACTTCCTAGGTAGATAAAATCTAAAAGATTGTTTTAAAAAATTTCCTTAATCCATTTTTTGACTCCTCGAAGTAATAGTCTGAATTACTTGATACAAAATTGGATGTTTTTCTGTTTCTAATAGAGAAATGCTGTAAGGAGGACCGAATGCAGCCCTTTTGTTTTTTTTTCAGTTGGGAAAGAGTAGCCAGAACAAGATTGTACACTGCCAACCTTCCATGCTGTGAGGAGGACCAATGGTTATTTTATTGTTATATGTGTTGCATGGCAATTGGTGACCCTCTTTCCAGCGATGCAGTCTATTGATTATTTAAAATAGAAAAGAATAAAATACATAGGAATTTTCGTTATTCTCAAATTGTATTATTTTGTAGTGAAATTTTTTATCTCTTTCCTTCTGCTCGCTTAGTCAAATTTGCCTCAAAATGTTACTGGGTTGATTTTAGTGCACCTCTCTCAGCTGCGCACACAGACAAACTCATAGGCAGAGATAGAGATTATTAGTTTGTTTTGTGTACATAGTCATTGAAGTGGGCTGAAAATACGAATTGGAATTGACTAGATGATGATAGTGTTGTCTTTTGTTTTCTCAACTCTCGCCAATAACATAACCAGTATATATTTGTGAACCCTGTAGAATAGCACTTGAAAACCAATGCTCGTTCTGAGGGTTGGAAGAACGGATTTGAAGGTTTTGAATGCCCATACCCTTTGCTTGGGCTTAACTAAATTTAACATTCTGGGAACAGAATAATTAGTAATTATGGTTATCATAAATCAATTACTTGGAACTTAATTTAGGTGATTATATTTGCACTCCACATTTTTCTTTTAATCAACTTGACAGAATTTCCATAGACCAAATTCTAGCACCGATGAAGCCCTCTAATACATAATTGCAATACTTAGAAATTTCATATATATTTTTTGGTTGCTTACTTCATTCTATCTTTTGCTATTTGTTTACACCTTTTGTCTTGATATGTGTATCTTCCTTTCATGCACGAATTGTATTTTTGTTAGGGAAAAATCTTGCACTCTGTCAAGCTGGTTTGACCTCTTCATTTGCTTGGCTAGTAAGATTGAATTTCTAATAGTTTCAAAATTCTTGACTTAGTGCATTCTTTCAGATAAGTTGGCTGTACCTGCATGTTTAAAAATGCCTTATATTTTGAGGGGCTGGTGTGATACACGATTTGGAAATGATGATGTCCCAATAGATTTATTTGTGTATTTGCTGACTTGTGCCATATCATGCAGTTATATGTGTGGGACGACTCGCAATGCCTCCCACTTCTTGTGGCAAATAAGGCTGCTGAAATGTTGTTTGGGAAGATCCCAGCTGAGAAAGTTTATTGTGGTTATATAAGGGAAAAGCATAGACGAGATACCAGTGCAAATTTTGTTTATGGCCAGAATCTTTCCTGCGAAAGAACCGCCAATAATCTAAATGTAGCCAAGTCTGCTATTGGTAATCCTTCCTCTTCAAGCATAGACGGGAAAAGAAGACTGAAGATGAAGCAAGTTTTTTCAAATGCAAACCAATATTTGATTTGGTTACTGTTGCTAAAATTATTATTTAAACAAGGGAAAAACAGCCCTTTAAAATTTCATGTGAAAGTCAATTCAAGCAGAGACCCTGAGACTGAGAGGTACGAAGTGCTCTCTATATCCATGCCTTCCCGCAGCCAAAAACTCTTCCCTGCATAGCTTGTTCAGCTATGCTGTTTGGTTTTTACATAAAATCGGATAACGTTGTTTAGGACCTTGACGTTCGGATTCAACTGCTTATATCTCTTTCTTCAATTAAATGCCTACTGTAAAAAAGCGAATTGTTTTATTAAATGTTTTGCAAGGCATTGATAATTGGAGGAAGTAAATTGATAGTGTATTTGGATAGGAATTTTTTTAAATATTATTTTGCTTGGTTAGGATATCCTTCTTTTTGAAGAGGAAAATTGGCTCATTCTTTGTAAAAATTTGCTTTTCATTTGTAAATTTCTGGAGTCACGTTTTGTGCTCCCTTCTGTCATTTTTCTTTTGAAGATTATTAACAAAATTTAGGGTTGGCATTTCTCCCCATGAATAAGATTTGTCAGTTAAAATATATTATTTTGCTTGCATCAAAAGAAGTGTTTTTCAGCTATTTTTTATATTCTCTATTATTTTTTTTATATCTCATATATATTACATTATAAAAATTGTTATAGTAATTATTTCAAATAATGTTATATCTAAAAACATTGTCGGGTTTCTGGGTCAAATACAATATTATTTTCAATTTGTAAAGAAATTTTGATGTCTGTATTCTAGGTAAGATACACTATCATTTTCAATTTGTAAAGAAATTTGGATAATATACAAGTATTTGTATATAGTTTACAAGAATGTGAGATGCGCCAAACATATTAAGAATGTAGCAACTTATTTGGGGCTAGAAGGAAAGAACCATGTAGATCAGATGGCTGCGTTGACAACCCTCTTTATTTTTTTTTTAAAATGCAGGATGTGAGGATTTGGACTCTCGATCTACATCACAAACTGAATATATATCCCTCCTGTAGCCAACTTGCATTTGATAAGTCGGTTCAATGTCACAACTTACTGGAAAATGTAGGGAGGATAATCTAAATTCTAGGAACTTTTCTTTATTATTTTTATTATTTTTGGTGTATGTTTGTAGTGTAAATTTATTTGCACGTACTTTTGTTAGTCTAAATAATAGAGAATTTAAATAAACATTATTAAGTTGGTTAATTTTGGCTTTGAGATCAACACTTACATACTTCTTGCACTTGTGTACGACTTGTGCAATTATAGACAAAGAATTTGAGTATTAAAAACCAAAACTTTACATCAGTGTACTTCTTTAAGTATCCTTCTTGTTAAAGATGAGCAAGTTATACCATATCATTGTGATGGATAGGAAGAAGAGAATCACACAAATCATGATAGCTTGTTCCTGCAAATGGTCTTTCTTGAACAATTGATTGAATGAGGATGGTTCGGGGAGGCATTTGAATGAAAAAAAAGGAGAGATTGAGTCATTGGTATGGCTTATGAATGGGTGGGGGAAGGGGCGCGCGTGCGCCGACCGATGAAATAGATGGATAAGCATTGCTAGAGTTCCACCATCCGAAGGTTATCCCGCCTCCTTGAGTGCCTTTAAAGCAGGTACTGACTCAGATATGACCTTGTGAGCCCCAATCGAATTCCTTCTCTGCCTAACATGCGCATGGAAAAATTTTTCCCCGACCCGAGAGTTCAATTACTAAATATAGGACTAGTCACTAACTTTTTACTTAAGGCATTCCTTTTTTCATCTACCATTAGACATTCCATGCCCTCGAAGAGTGCTTTGTTCTAGGTTGGCGCTTTCTTCTTCTTTAGAAAGAGTCTTAGTTTTTCAACAACTTAAGTTCTTAGTAAACATAATGTTTTTCAATGTTCATAATCAGTGGATAGTTCAGCCTTCTCACTCGGCGTTCCATGTGGAATCAAAGTTCCTATCCAAAAGACAGAAAAACTAGTTTATTCTAATTGATCATATACATTTTATATACGAGCTACTGAATACTAAATATACCAGTTTTTGTTTGTCTGGTATGGTTATTCTCTTGTAAAATGATGGATAGCCAATATTCTGAACAAAATCATTTGGGAATTCATATTTAACTTCTTGGTGGATATAGTTGGACTTGTTGAGAGATATACTTCTAAATAGATGTTGTTTAGGTTTATTTGTCAATTTTGTTTCCAATCATGTGAGTATCCTTTATCAACCAACTAGTTCCTTACTCTTCTTGCTCATTATTTTCCTAGTTTATGAACTAACCACTTGTCCTGTCTGGTATCATAGCTAGGTTTCTTAAACAAAATCCCCCTATGGTTTTTATATACTTTACACATTTTGTTTATATACTTTATTCATGGCCTGTTATGCCGCATGATCTACTAGTGACAGTCTGACTGCGACTCACTTTCTTACCCTTCTTGCTCATTATTTTCTTGATTTAGGGGCTAACCTCTCTTCCCGTCTGGTATTAGAGCCAGAGAGGGAAGTGGGGTGATGGCTATCTTTCTTTGCTTATTATGATATGACTAGTGTAGATCTACAAGTTTAAATTTTTCCGATGGACTAGTTAGTTTGTAATTAATATCCTTCTAAACATATTATAATAGTGCTAGTTTTGATCTATAAACCTAGATCTGTTTGATGAATATGAAACCTGTAATTGCCAACTGTTGGTCCAGGCAGTGAGAGTTGGGGCCCAATAAGACCTATAGGACTGTTGAGATCCCTATAGTCCGAGATCCAGGGCTGTGAAGGGTTCAAAAGATCAAATCTAGCTTTCTAGATCTATACTACTATTATTATAATTTGCTTAGAAATATAATCGTCACTCCTAGATAACTTGTTTTAGAAGTTCAGATCTAACCTCTCAAGATCTATATTGTCTTTAATATAATCAGTTTAGAAACATGGTTATTCTTCATGGATTATAATTTGTTTGAAAATATAGTTGTCACTCATAGATAACTTGTTTTAGGAGTTCAGATCTAACCCCTCAAGATCTTTACTATCTTTATTATAATCAGTTTAAAAACATGGTTATTCTTCATGGATCCCGAAGGATTCTATGCAAAAGGGAAGAGAATGATAAAATTGCCTGTTTATCAGTTCCATCTATTTCTCATGGCTTCCTTTTTCAGAACAAATTCTCGTTCTTCTAGTTCTTCTAGTTCTTCCTCAAACACCAAACTAAAAGAAGAAATTAATATATCAGATATTAATCAAGACATCAACAATTGGAAAATCCCTAAATATACTCAAAGCAATATTTGTGAAAAAGATAAAAAAAAGTGGATGTTCTCTACTACAAACTATACAATCAAAGTAGTAAACAAAAAATATCCTTAGATGCAGACCATGAGGAAATCAAACTATTATCCAAAAGAACAATAGAAAAATATAAAGAAAAATATAATTCATGTAACAGCGCACAAATGATTGGGTTTGTAATATTCAGTATACTGACCAATTTTTGGTTCTTTGCAAATCTGATTGTAAAGTAGTAAGGTTAGGTTGAGTGAAGTGGAGGGGAGGTGTGAGAAAATACAAGTTTTCGGCAAAATCGTTTGAAACGAAGTTAATAGCATATATTTTTGTATACTGTTACTGTATATAAGAAACAAAATTTTGGTTCTTGGTTACCTAGAAATTGTAGTGGAAAGAATTCTAGAGTATGTTCCAACCATAAGAGTATTGACATTAATATTTTGAAGGTTATGCATATCAATATCTTCAATCAAATTAGGACATTAATCTATGAATTGTTAGTCAAGTCTTGGAACGTAATGTTTCAAGTCTTTTTGTAACACTATTCCAACAAGTTATGTTGATTTATGTTAGTGATGAAACAAATTTTGTATATATAATTTTTATTTTGTTGGTTCATGGCAATTGTTACAGTTCATAAGGCAAATGGATTTGGCTCTACAGTAGACTGGAATGAAAATGTGGGAATTGGTAAGAGCATAATCATATTATTATTAGAAAAATAAAAGTGTAAGATTAGAATATGAATGGACATAACATGAGTCTAATAGCAAATAAAGTCACAAAGAATATTTGGATTAAGTATACATAAGAAACTTTTATGCTTTTAAATACGAAGAAACAATTATATAATATTTATATTGCATTACATAAGGAATTTATGTTTTTGGTTTCTGCTAAAAAGTGTAGATAGGTTATGTTGTTTAGTCAGCGGTAGTATATTATAAATTTTGTGGAATATATAAAGCCTTTAATTATCCATATAATTTTAACAATTTTATATAGTTTAAGTTTTCTGTGTATATTTTACAATTTTTTATATATATATGCACTGATAGT